AATCATTCAAACCAATGCGATTCAGACCTCGCAGCCTATTTCCTGATGCACACCCATCTCTCTAAACAGGCCATACCCCCGTGACTTCATCTGCCCCCATGAACCCCGGTGCCCTCCGGGGGCCTGCGCTTCCAAGCCCAGCGCCGAGACCAGTCCACGGCCCTCCTCGCCGTAGGCACCGGTGCCGTGGGCCTCGTCCACGATCAGCGAGGCACCCCACGCGGCAGCCACCTTTAGACGTGCATGGCCCAGCCGAAGAGACGAAAGGCCAATACGTGCGCAGCGTTGGAGGCCATCGCCAGTAGGTTGGAGGCCATCGGTCGAAAAAGAGAGAGAAAGAGAGAGAGAGAGAGAGATCGCAAGCGAGAGCCATGCGATGGGACGGAAGGAGTTGGGGTCCGGAACCTTGTAAGGTTTGAGCTGGGGGGTTGAGAAGTCTTCCTGTGCTCACTGCCAGGGTGTTTCAGTGACTCCCAGAATCGGCCTGACATAGCTCCTCCAAAGGTGCCAAATGGCCATCCATCGAGTAGACCGATTCCACCGCGACAATGAGATTGGCCTGCCGCATTGGGCTGCGAGAAACATTCACCGTGAGCCACTCACTCACTCATTCACTCACTTGCTTGCTTCTCCCAACTAGTGGATGATGATGATGATGATGATGATGATGATGATGATGATGATGATGATGCTTGGTAAAGGCCTCTTCCAAAGCATGCACACCACTAGGGGGCATACATCATAAAGATTCATAAAGAACACTACTAAATTGGCTGGATTCGAGAAACCACTAAGACCGATGAGACTCCCACCTGAATGAGCATGAATCAGTGAACAATGTGCAGAAACTGCCACGCATTACCAAGTTACTATTGCAGCTCTTACTGGTCTTTACACCACCCAGCCCAAGAATTCATTCAGAACGTTCATTCTCCTTGGGCTTCTCTGCTCGGCTCTGTGCAAGCATCTGCTCCAGCGCCCTCACGTCGTTGTGTGGGAAAGCCCTGACGTTGCCTTTGGCGCGGCTCAGCTTGAAGCCCTCTCGCACCTGCGGCTGGCGGCTCACCTTCCAAGGTCCAGCTACAAATCAATGGATCGCTGGGTGCCATTCCATTTTGTATAGGCACTGCTTAAAAGAAATGGATTGGGCCGATTGCGAGTATAGTGTGCTCAAGGATTCCCTTGTCAAAAAGAGGCTGACGCTTGACATGATGATTATATAAACACCTTGAAACCAATGACTGGGGGAACCAAAATGGAAAGTAC